TTTTTTTTTTTTTTTTTTTTTTTTTTTTTTTTTTTTTTTTTTTTTTTTTTTTAGTGTGAGAAGGGTGAGGGTAGGTTAGTTTTGTTAGCCAGCGTGTGCCACGGCGCCAAATAATCAACGAGTATAGATAGTTTTGACCAACGATCCCTGCTTGGCCATGGTGTCCTTGTGCAGTTGATATTGAAGCACATAGGCGCTCTCCATGCGCAGGCCGTCTCGCAGCTTGCCGCCAATCTCGAGAGCAGCTGCCTCGTTGCTGCCATTGGCTGTCCAAATGGATATCTTGTTGTTCTTGCCACGTATATTGACGACAGCGCCGCACAGTTCATGCGAATAGTCACAGCTCTCGCCGATCAAGACAAGCATCGTGTCCAGCCAAAAGTTATCCAAATCGTTTTTGTTCCCCTTGTTGAGGGTGATTACCCAGCGACCGCCCTTCACGTTAGCCTCATCCTCCCACATTGGACGTATTCCCTTCTTGAACAGACAATAGTCGCTGCCCATTTTAATCTCAGATGGCGTCTTAATGTGATTTATGAGACTCCAGAAATTCTCGACCGTGTTGAAGCTGGCCACCTCGTGCAGCATCTCCTCCCAGGTCTTGGTGCGATCTGTCTCCAAATACCACAGTGTCCATTCGCTGTTCAGAGGATGATGCGGCTCCGATGGCGTCTGCTCTGGCTCACTGCCGCTAGCCACATCGAGGCTGACTGTATCTGTGCTGACTGGATCTAGGATCGCCGATGGGGTCATATAGCCGTCATCTGTGGTGCCTCCACTCACATCGGAGCGAGGTGTCGATAGCGGGGAGCACACGCTACTGCCACCACTGCAGCAAGTTGCATTCATCACGCTCTTATAACTAGCGCTGCTACTGCTGCCGCTGCCGCTGCGGCCGCTGACCGAGCTCGGCTTGTTGGCCTTCTTGGTCGCTGACGAGCAGCTCTGCACTGGCGTAGTGGAGAACTCTTCGTTGTTAGAGCACGACTTAAACATGGTCTTTGGATTGGCAAAGTTTTTCATCTTATAGAAGTTAGATGGATACATTTTGTATGCTTTCGATGAACTCTGCAAGCACACATACACACAGAATGACAAAACAATTAACACCCACCTACAGCAATTGCATTTCGACATCGATTCGTTACTGACCTGCCTTTTCCTGTGATTAACTTGGTCTCAATTGCCGTTTTTGTGTTCCTCTGTACTATGCTCCAAATTCAAATTGGCTGCTTTTGATTTTAGGATTATCACAACACTCGAACAATGTTATTTCTGCTCTTAAAAACGAACTGTATTATTGATTTTCCTTACGTCGCACACTACACTCAAAGAACGAACAACAAATAAGCACAATTAATTGAAACAGTTTCAACAAAACGTATGAGCGTGTCAAAAACTCAAATACAAACACACTCTATGTATATGGCTGTCGTCTTTGATTAAAAACGCTTGGCCTGCTTGGATTGACAGAAATGTCGATTTGCAGTTAACATTAATTTCATTAACTAGACTAGGATGAATGCATGAATGGATTAATAAATAAATGCATAAATGAAAAATAAAGTCTAAAGAAAGTGTAAATAAATAAATTGTATGGAACTATATTTAATTTCAGATTTTGTTATTGGGCTGTTACTTGTAAAGTTTCAAAATAAATCCTTAAAAATTTAAAATATATCGCCCAAGTGTCATACCTATTTTCAGCAGAGTTTCCAACCTCCAAGAAATAAAGAGAGTAGTTTCGCAGTTACTGTTAGCTTTCAAATTTATTTTTGTCCAGTTAGTGCAAAGTCACAGACCTTAGTACAGCTGTAGAGCTGATAAATTCTATATCAAATGATTTATGTATATTTTGATTGTCCATATAAATATCCAGTTAAAATTCTATCAAGCCAAGCACAGCATTCCCTTAGATTGAACGCACCTCAACACCTCAACACCTGCTCGAGAAGTGTTTGCAAAGAGTTTTGCTGTTGTTGTGTTGTTTTTTTTTTTCGATGTCTTACGTAGTGTAATCATTAAATTTGATTGGCATACGTATGCTATGCGAAACGTGTGCCAGTAATTATGCCCTTACAGACCATTGAAAAGCAGCAGCAGAGACGTGAGCTCATTGAATGTAGCGTAAGCTTCATTTTTTGTTCTCTTTAAATTGGCTAAGAAAATAAAACTAAGTGAATCAAACACGTAACAGTGCAGGAGCCAGGCGAACTCTACTTACAGATACCATCTATCAAAATTGCTGGGATAAAAGTGAAGAGTTAGATAAGCCGAAATGCATATGCCCTATCATCAGTGTCAAGCCGTATGTGAGCTCTTTAGCCTGTCAAGGCTTAGCTGAGCTTAGTCAGGGCTCGCTAAGTTAAAGTAATTTTCGCTTGAAGACTTTCGACTCAGATCTCACATTGTTTATCTTCATTCTCTGATGTGTGTCCTTGGCCCGGCAACATTTTTCAATGGGTATTTGAAATGGCTTGAGCTGAAAGCTGACCAAACGAGCAACGTGCACATGCCTGAATGCTGAGTTGGATAACGAGTCCTGGGCAAAGCCCAATTTCAATTCCAATCGCACGCAAAACTTGACGAGTTTCAAAATAAATATTTACACACACCCCCATGCACACACATACATATATAAATGTATATATGTATATATATACACATACACTCAATACACTTGGCCGACACGCTGGAGCAACACTTCACGAATTTCTTATTAGCTGCACTTCAAAACTGTGCAAAGTTGCGCTCCAAACTTATTATGGCACTCGGTCGGACCTAAAGCAGCTGGAGCAGCAGAGGAAGAGGAAGACGAAGGCGAAGAAAAATGCTGAAGAAAAGGCAAACGGAAGGAAATGGCCGTGGGAATGGGCTAAAGTAAGCCAACTTTAACTAATGGCAACATTTTTGTTTGCTCATGTCGAGTGTTATTGAGCTAAAGCAAAAGAGCAAAGTTTCATTTGGCTCCGGCTGTCATAAGTTTAAATGGGGTTATTGGGCGAACAAGCAAAATCAACAGCCAACAACAACAACCATTGCCTGCTAAAGGATAAATGAAAAATGTCAAAGTCCAAGGCAGGGCAACAAATCCTAGGTTATGGCTGACAAATATTTGTGCAATGGCCAAATGGAAGCCAAATCCCGTCCTGTTAAGTGCCAATGCTGTTGCAACATTCTGTTGCATATTGCAAGAAGCGACAACTGAATATTAAGAAGTAGCACATTCGCACATATACTTCAATTTGGCTTATTAAGTATGCATATTTTGAAACATTTTGCTTCCTTTTTGCCTTTATTTTCTCTTTATTTTCGTTTATCAGCTGTCAAATGTCAGTTAATGGGCCAGTAGCAAGGGAAACTAACTTACTGCAGTCACTGTTTGCATTGAGCAATGACAAACAACTCATTCCTTAGCTTGAGCTGTGAATTTGAGTGTTTGGGGTGTCATATACTCTGAGTTTTATATTCAAGAAGCTGACTAGCTGCACCTGCGTCCCTAAGAAATAATGTATCTGAATATTCACCTTGATAATACCAAGTACCAAGCCTATGCCGGTGCGTTGAGGCTGACAGCGGGACAGAAGTTTTGCTTCGTTGAATATTTTTATTCTATTAATATATTTATTGTTTATATATTATTTTATTACTTAGAGCGAATAATCTGTATTTTTTATTGGTAGCCGAAAGCAAAAAAAAAAAAACTTTCCGTTTGAGTTCCCTTAAAGATTATTATGGAACATAAATCATATCTTTGAGCTCCCTTGCTGTTGTTTTTGTAAATGAACTTACTCAAATATCACGTCACGCCCCTTTGTATGCATGACAAACTTGCTTTGAGTATGTAAAAAATACTGCAATTCGAATCAATAAACCAATAGCTCTGTATGCTCATAAGTATGTGTAGATTTTGTCGAAACTATAACAAAAATACGCTTTAAACAAAGAGAGAGTGTAGCAACTCGCTCCGTCTCTCTCTCTCTCTCTCTCTCTCGCTCTCTCTTTCGCTCACGCTGTGCATAACTCTAGGCGTTGACTCTGCGAGTGCCATGCAACAAAATAGAACACATCAAAACTACAAATAGAGAGAAAAAAATGGAAAGCAAAACATCACAGAACAAAACAGAATAGAACAGAACAAAACAACATGAGCCAGCCATGTTGTTTGTTAATTAAAATTGGCGCAGCAGCTCTAACAACAACAACAGCAACAACAACAGTGGCAACAACAATGACAACAACATGGTCCAGCATTGAGCCAAAAAATTGTAAACCGCATTTCAAAGTAGTTTGAAGACAGGTCAGCATTTGAATATTTCATTTATGGGCGGGATGCCAGGCGACGGGGGAGCTCTGGTGTTTGGGGATTTGGATTGCGATTTGAATTTGGATTTGGAAAACGCATTAGCATAGCGGCGCAACGGCTCACATAGTAACTAGTGAAATATATGAATATCAAGTTTTATTTGCACATAATTGAATTTACATTCACTCCCTCTGTGTGTGTGTGTGTGTATTTTTATTTATTATTATTATAATTGAAAATTAAATATATTTAGCATGAATTTGAGCTGAAATTGCATTAGGCGTGACGTGGTTTGGTTTATTTTCAGTTGAAATCATTTAATATTTGTGCCGCCCAAAAGTATGCTCATTAAAATATTCCATAGAAATGCCTGCAGCCCCATTGAAATCAATATTCGTTACATATTTGCGAGTTTGCTCTCGACATAGCTCTGGCTGTTAACTTGAAGATAATATGGACTCTAATATAGACTCTAATCATATTAGTTATGTTACATGATCATATGTTTAAGATAGATATAGTGCCGGTCTGGTAGGTCTTGATGGTAGTGGCAACTGCGTCATCTCTTAGTTCTGGTGCGCCGGATAGCAGATCTTGGGGCTACGCTTTGTCGAGGTAGTTTCTGGGCACATCTTGGATTCCTTTTCCAGGTGTAGTTCGATATCCCTTGCCCACATTTGGATGAGAGCCCGAGATAATCTTCATCAGGGACATTGCTCGATGAACATGAAGCTTATATATAAGCTTGCCTGCAAATCCTTCTATAAAGGAGTTAATAATTATTAACAAACAAAAAGCATTTGCTGGTTTAATGACCAAATCGTGCAGCCAAGTGAGCTATACACAAGAAATTGTAAAATAATAATACATAGCAAACAAGTAAGAAAACTCTAGTCGAGAGTGCTCGACTAGATACTACCCTGAACC